AGGGATGTCAGAAATCATATTCAAAGATGGACTTCCAGAGGACTGTACATGCCCAGTGTGCGATCAGGTCGGTTTGTATAACCGGTTTGATCTCCGGAATTCATCGCTCACTTGTCTTTTAACTAGCATGCTAAAAAATATATTCTTGAGTCGTGAGCTTTGCTTTTTTCATGTTTCTTTTGTGATTTTTATAAAGTTGCATCTTTTGATTTTGCTGAATTTTTCTCGTAGAGTAACTTTCTCGTAGAGTAGTATTCTAGTACTATAATATAAGGTTCTGTCATTCGGATTGAAAAGTTCACCAAGCTTGAACACAATGACGAGATTTCTCGTTTTTCAACTTTCTTAATTAACCCTATGAAATTCGAAAGTAAAAAGAAAGAGAAGAGTTAACCAAGACCTAAGTCGAGGTTAAAGACACACTGTACAATGACCTGAAAGATGGAATGTTTCTGCGCATAGGGTGAGTAGGATCCACAGTCATTGTACCTTTTGCACTTATTATTAGAGGTACTTGGCAAGGAAGCTAGAAGCTTGTGATTATTTGATGGCTTCGCTGTCTCCGCCCACCACTCAAGACGTCATAGGAATGTGTGATATGCGCTGCTCATCTACTCCCTCTCACCGACGTAGCGTTTGTTCGGATCGGTTGAAAACGATGAGGTCTACTCCGAAGCCATCTCAGTTTGTAGGCGCAGTTCGGGGAGGGGGGGAGGGGCACTTTGCACTTTTGTTGCTTCACCGGTTCGGTTTGCAAGTCGTACTCTGCCGAAAAACATGTAAACTCTTGTGAGCTAGAGCAAGCAGGCATTTCATGGTAAACCTGGGACGGGGCGAGCTACCCACCTTTGTGGACTACATTTCGGCGTAATGATGCTTTGTATTATACGTTTCAGTGTGAGGAAGTTACCAAAGCAAGCACTAGGGTGTTCCTTCTACTCAGGGCACGTATTCGTTGAAAACTTTGTTAAATACGACCCCCACCCCATCAGAAGTTCCTCTTCGAATACAGCCCCGTAACTAGCATATTCCTGAATTCCCCCAACTTCCTACCAGTTTTGCGGTGTTTTCCAGATATTCTCCAGTTTTTCTCCCTCAATAAACTGCTATGTAGGGGGTGAGAGATAGGCAATGTAGCGGGAAGAGTCAACAACCAGAAGTATTTCTCTCAAAGGCAAATACGCAACTTCGCTGGGAATCCCAACGTACAACGTGCCGTAGTCGCACTACAACCATACTCATGCAAGGCATGGACTAGCGCTCATTACAGTAAGCGCCGTAGCTTCCACTTCTCCCCAACAATCTCACTGGGTCGCCACAACAATACCAGAAGTTCTCCCACTTCAGATGCGCCACTTCTGGGTTTAGTTTCTGCCCTCACTTGAAGTGACTTAGAATCTCAGCATTCTTTGGGTGTGACTGAAAGCTATTCTCCACTAATGACCGAGCGACAGAATTTCTCAGGCTTGCTCTCTGGTCTATCGCAATGAGGTTTCTCGCGCAAAATCTAGCACCTACCCAAACAAAAGAGCGCGACCCGGTCCACATGCTACCTATTTGACCCCACAAAGAAATTCCATCGTTATCCCCAAATGCTCTACTGGCGCAGTTCGCGACGGGGGGGGGCATTTTGCACTTTGCTACTTCCCATCGACGTGTCGACCCATCTAGACAGCCTCTTCTCGAGTTGACAGGTTTTACCATGATGGCTTGACGAGCTTGCTCCAGCTTCACAAGAGTTCACAGGTTTCACCAGAGTGAGACTTGTAAACCGGAACTAGTGAAGCAACGAAAGTGCAAAATGCCCCCCCTCCACGTCGCCGAACTGCGCCAGCTCTACTAATTGATAGTCCTAGACATCTTTTCAAAACTATCCTATCAAAACCTCAGAGGTCACCATGTACAGCTAAGCAAGAGTTCTTACAATGAAGTTTCTATTTTCAGGCACTGCGAGCGCCAGTAGTAACTCAATGTGGCCACTCCTTTTGTAAAGAATGCATCAGTTTCCCTGAAAATGGGTATGTAACAATCAAGGTTTATCTGGGAACAGCCTGGAATCTCCTAACCCTTGCTAATCACAGGCCGATACCTTGTCCAGTCTGCAACACGGAGATCGCACCAGATTCACTTGAACCGAACAAGGAGAAGCGGCGTCAGGTGAGAATGACCACCAAAAGAAAAATTTCACTCGTCCACTCGAAAACGGGATTTAGTAGCCTAGGAACGTCAAGAAAAAAGCTAATGCATATTTCCGCATGACATCACCATGGCGCAGGTGCAGCCAAGGGATCCTACTGTTGGGGAAATCTTTGCAAAATGCAATCTCGTTCAAAATTCCCTCCTCTCCTGGTATGACCCCCCACATCTTCTCATCTTCCTGAATTTTCCCATATGCGACCGTTTTTTGGAAACTTGTGCAACACTTTTTTCCCTGGAAAACCTCCATCCAAGCCGGGGCGTGGGGTACGGGAGGCAGATATTTGCTCTAATGGAACAGGAAAGATTGAGAAAGTAAAGGACCGGAAACGTTTCTCTCAAAGGTATGTACGACCTCCTTCACTCCCTCCAGCAGCCGAATACGACCCCTCCTCGCTGGGGATCCTGGCCTGCCTTGGCCTGTGCTACATCAGCGCCGTACCCAAACGTGGCTGACAACCAAATCATCGTAGATGGCGTTTACTGGGGCGACCGGATAAAAATTCCCATCATTTTACAAATTTCAGGTCCAATCACTACTCGTCAAGTGTCCATTTGTGCGAAACGGTTGCCAATGGTGCGGAACTCTTCAAAGAAATGCAGGTAAATGATTAACTCGTAAGTAGAGGTTCTGCAGCTACCGTAATCTGTGAATTCTAGAAACATGCTGACTCCTGCCCATACCATGGTGTTGCATGTCCGAATTGTAACAAGACGGTTCCCGAACGGGATATGTCAACACATTTGGTGGAGTGCCAAAAGAATGTTGGAAAATGCCCCTACTGCGACATTGTGACAACAAGTATGGAAAAACATCTGAAGGTCTGCATTCGAAAAGCTCAAGGACTTCTGTATTCGGCACTATTGTAAGTGTGGATTTGTTATAACACAACCTGTTCATTCTTAGATCTGCCCAAAAATGACTAATCAGCTGCCCATCTTCCAAGTGGAATTTATGGAATGCGACCAACCGGAAGAGGTTAGAACTTTTCGAATTATCGGAATCATTTCACTTCAAAATTGTCCACGAATCCGTTTCCTTTGAAATTTTCAGCTTTGATTATTTTGCGGAACTATTATTAGAATTCCTGGTGATTATATGAAGCACGAGTAACTGAGCTAGTTTTCGCGGAACGGGGACCAGTCATGGACGCGTGCGGCTGCGTCGCGTACCCACAGTGGATTGATACTTGCCACTGCCACTAGTCAGCAGATTATATAGGATGCAACCGTAGGTGGAGGGTTATTTCCGAGTTCAACCCTGCTTGCCCAGCGCGAAAATTATACTTTGCTAGAATGACGTGTAGCGTCAGCATTCGCTTCGCAGACCCAATCCGCTGAACGCAGCAGTGCGTCGATTGCGTCTAGTGCGACCTCTGAGCCTCTCCTGGCTTCTCTCTAGTCCACAAGCTGTCTCTGTGCCTCTGGTCAACTAGCTAGGAAAAACTGCTTGTGCGCGTGAATCACTTACTCATTCTATGACAAGCCAGGAAGTCGCGCTTCACACAAAGGACACATAATGTGGGACCAACTGTTCAGACAGTTGCAATGCTAGTTTTCATTTACGCCAAATTAACCAGCGGCATACCACAGCATGACGCATGCGGGTTCCATAGCGGCGCCTGAACATAGTTCGATACGCTCGCCCAACTTATTCACGTTACTGCGTAGGGTGAGCCGATGTGCGTGTCGACCCATTTCTTTGAAAAGAATCCTTCACTGAACCAGAAAAGATCATAATTGAACTCGGGTAACCACCCACAAATTGTAATTTTATCTCATTGAGGTGAAAAACATCGTCCATTATGTCCAAACGTTTGACAAGCTGTCCTTTCACCGAATCTCGGTTGCGACTTACATCGGTTAAGCTGATTTATATCCAAGCGGGAGATTTATCCAACCTTTGTTTTTGCAGGTGACAAGGTCACCGTTCAAAGCCAACCCATTTGGCCGAATGAACCCATTGCCATTTGATGTTACTCTGGCGATGCAGTCAACTCGACTTTATCAGGTGGGTTTTTCTTATTCATCCTGTCGCATGGGCTAAGGTCAGCAAAGGTCAAAAGTGATCAAGTGGAACTAAATTCCATCGTAGTAAGACATGTTATTACGTAGAAGCTGATCAGATGAGCCTTTGGCAGCCGGCAAATGCACAAATTTCCACAAGTTAACCTATATTGAAAGTTCACCTTTCAGAGTTTCCATACGAACGCGAAAGCGGAATGGAATGAAATGAGTGAGCGTCACCAGGATCTCCTACAGAGAGTAAGTCATCAGTAATGACATAAAGCAGGCTGGCTTATAGATGAATTGGGACCCATGTAACCTCTGGACAAAGTGAAACATGAGCTTCGCATCTTTCGGGAAGTAGCCTGAGTCGAGAAAATAAATGTGACTCCGGAACTCGTTTCAGGACCTACTGTCCTTCGAAGAAATCGCCTCCGCTTTAAGAATAAAGACCCTTTGCAGTGCAGGACACAGTCAATCAGCGGTCATTATCAATCCACCAGTGGCTCTAATACGACTCCCATTCCCATTTTCCTCCCCATCGAAAAGTCAAGCGAAATCACCTTTTCGTCCCAGAGTCTGTATACTTCTGTACGCTGCGGAAGCTGAGGCGTTCCAGGGGCTGTTTGGAATGGCGCCAGCCTGTTCTCCACTGTTTGGAAGTTGACAGCGCATCCACCCATTAATTGCTGAAAAACTGGCTGGCGCCGCGCCAAAACTATCCCTCCCCTGAAACGCCCCAACGTTCGCAACGAATAAAACTGTATGTCCATTCCCATTCAGATCCCCCTCAACAAGCTATATACGCGATCGCTCTGCGCTTCCGTTTTCGCCGAGGCGTACAGACTTGCGGTCTTGTGCGGGAACCGAACGAACTGCCATACTTAGGACATATCGGATTTCTCGGCCATTTCTCCTATACTTCGTTCTCACCGTTCTTTATCTGTATATGATTGCGAAGCCATTGGACAATTAACGCGATTACATCCACCCCTTACACCTTTATTAGGAACCATATCTTCTCAGCAATCCGTACACATGCGTGGGGCTGGGGCAAATGGAGCGTTACCCCACGGTCGGCGGCTCGACCCCCGGATCGAATCTCACATAGACGGAGAAATCGCCTCATTCTTTTTAGTAAAAGACAATCTGGTGCTGATGATGCCGAACAATGCTTGCAACCAGCCGGCCTTTGCTATTTTCCCAGGCTCATGGTACGCATTCAAAAGCCTCTAAAATCACGAAACAGATATCCAGAATTGTGGCATATGATATCAGATTTGTGGCGCATCCCAAGTGCTACAAATTAACGCAAGCATTTCGTTCTTCTAACTAGGCTTATATCCTTAAGTAACACTTTCAGGCTATGACTGCCAACGAAATGTATGGACCACAGTTTATATGGCGGATCGATAACATGAAACAGAAGATGAATGAGGCTAGGGTCAGTATCTATTTGAACCACTTTCATATTAATTTACAAATATCTCCGGAAAACTGCTTTCGGTTCCTTTAAAACCACAGTTCCAGAGCGGTGCCCGACCGATAATTCATTCGGAGCCGTTCGTTTCGGGACGTTATGGTTACAAATTTATTGCAAGCGCATGTCTCTTTGGAGACGGGCAATGTGAGTTCACAGAAGTGATTTCGTTGGTTTTTTAGAAGATTGAGTCTAAATTCATAGTTAAAACCACGAAAAACATATAGCTGATATCGCTGCAGTGTCAGGTGGGGGGGGAGGTGGGAGGGAGGAGCGGGATTAGCCCGTCCCTGGCTCGCCTTTACTAACAATCTGTTCAGGGCACATCGCTGTTGACGAATTCCCCAACAGCCTGAGGGGTAGTATTTGGTTGCTGGGAGAGGTGGGGTCGTATTTGGGTTGAGAAAATTTCGATAGTTGATTTTTCTTGTTTCACGGACGTTGCAACATTAAAGACAGCTCCGCGATAAAAGTGTCATGGATAGTTGCTTTTCAATTATGAAACAGTAGCTGATAAGTAATTCCCCAAAGAAGAAAAAAGCAAGAAGAGTCCTCAAGAACACTATAAACAAAATCGCTCCCTGACAGTCACACCTCCCTGCGGTCTCTGTGCAACCCCTGGCTCACAAATCCCTTTATCACACCTCCCAGTAGTGGATCCAATGCTAAGAAAATAATACGAAAAACAACAAAAATACGGAAGAAAAACTCTTGAAAAGGGAAAGAAACCATCAAAAACTCGGCGTCCGAATTTAGGGTTACGGTAGCGTGCGTCTTTTAGTGTAGTGTATGCGTCGAGCTTTTGCACCACGAAAATTGGGTCGCTCGTGATTTTTACGCGTTTTACCTTGCGAGATGGGTTGAGTTGACTGTATGTGCTCCTAATGAATAAAATGTAATAAAGGAGAGCAGAATTATTCATGGGCACGAGCGCGGTCAGCAAAAAGGACATGCAGTTCCGATTAATGCCCGCCGCCGCAGGGCATCTAGCAAGTGGGCGGTCCAACCGGACGGGC